TCGACGTCACTGTCATTGCCTAAAAACTTACCTGCTAGTTGGAATAGATGACCCTACTTCCTTGAAAGCAACTGAACAGTAATTTCATGTCAAATATAAAATGAACAATAATTTTTTGAAAACAAAAGAATTATTATAGTATTGCAGCCAGGGAAGAGTAGTGCTACATGTTGACAGTTTAAAACTTTAAAGCATATCTAAGATACAAAATTTACAAAACCAGATAGTAAAATTAACCTGAACACACTGATTTTATACTGGATGAACACCACAAAGTCACATCAAACCTTATTGACAAACCATTTAATAAAAATAGTGTACTGAAAGGTATATATAATAAGGAAAACGATTCTATTCACCTGACCGATCTGTCATGGGCATCAGCTTTCCCTAGATTCCGGTCAATCACAACTTCACAAGACAAACTTCAAGGATCTGTATTCGAGATGTCAAAGTGAACTAAAACGGTTGATATATCAAACTAACGAGTGATATTTCTTCATAGTTTTTTCTCGACAAAAATACACATACCTCCTCTGAACCCCTTGTGTAGTAAAAGGCATCACCGCCCTTGCTTACCCATGGGCCCTGGAGCCAAATTTCGACGTCACTGTCAATGCCTAAAAACTTACCTGCTAGTTGGAATAGATGACCCTACTTCCTTGAAAGCAACTGAACAGTAATTTCATGTCAAATATAAAATGAACAATAATTTTTTGAAAACAAAAGAATTATTATAGTATTGCAGCCAGGGAAGAGTAGTGCTACATGCTGACAGTTTTCAACTTTAAAGCATATATGAGATACAAAATTTACAAAACCAGATAGTAAAATTAACCTGAACACACTGATTTTATACTGGATGGACACCACTAAGTCACATCAAACCTTAGTGACGAACCATTTAATAAAAACAATGTAGTGAAAGGTATATATAATAAGGAAAACGATTCTATTCACCCGACAGATCTGTCACAGGCATCAACTTTCCCTAGGTTCCGGTCAATCACAACATCACAAGACAAACTTCAAGAATCTATATTCGAGATGTCAAAGTGAACTAAAACGGTTGATATATCAAACTAATGAGTGATATTTCTTCATAGTTTTTTCTGGAAAAAAATAGACATACCTCCTCTGAACCCCTTGTGTAGTAAAAGGGATCACCGCCCTTGCTTACACATGAGCCATGGAACCAAATTTCGACGTCACCGTCATTGCCTAAAAACTTACCTACTAGTTGGAATAGATGACCCTACTTCCTTGAAAGCAACTGAACAGTAATTTCATGTCAAATATAAAATGAAGAATAATCTTTTGAAAACAAAAGAATTATTATAGTATTGCAGCCAGGGAAGAGTAGTGCTATATGCTGACAGTTTAAAACTTTAAAGCATATCTGAGATATAAAATTTACAAAACCAGATAGTAAAATTAACCTGAACACACTGATTTTATACTGGATGGACACCACAAAGTCACATCGAACCTTACCGATGAACCATTTAATAAAAATAGTGTACTGAAAGGTATATATAATAAGGAAAATGATTCTATTCACCCGACCGATCTGTCACGGGCATCAGCTTTCCCCAGGTTCCGGTCAATCACAACTTCACAAGACAAACTTCAAGAATCTGTATTCGAGATGTCAAAATGAACTAAAACGGTTGATATATCAATCTAACGAGTGATATTTCTTCATAGTTTTTTCTTGACAAAAATAGACATACCTCCTCTGAACCCCTTGTGTAGTAAAAGGCATCACCACCCTTGCTTACCCATGGGCCATGGAGCAAAATTTCGACGTCACTGTCATTGCCTAAAAACTTACCTGCTAGTTGGAATAGATGACCCTACTTCCTTGAAAGCAACTAAACAGTAATTTCATGTAAAATATAAAATGAACAATAATTTTTTGAAAACAAAAGAATTATTATAGTATTGCAGCCAGTGAAGAGTAGTGCTACATGCTGACAGTTTAAAAGTTTAAAGCATCTCTGAGATATAAAATTTACAAAACCAGATAGTAAAATTAACCTGAACACACTAGTTTTATACTGGATGGACACCACACAGTCATATCAAACCTTACTGACGAACCATTTAATAAAAATAGTGTACTGAAAGGTATATATAATAAGGAAAATGATTCTATTCACCCGACCGATCTATCACGGGCATCAGCTTTCCCCAGGTTCCGGTCAATCACAACTTCACAAGACAAACTTCAAGAATCTGTATTCGAGATGTCAAAGTGAACTAAAACGGTTGATATATCAAACTAACGAGTGATATTTCTTCATAGTTTTTTCTCGACAAAAATAGACATACCTCCTCTGAACCCCTTGTGTAGTAAAAGGCATCACCGCCCTTGCTTACACATGGGCCATGGAGCCAAATTTCGACGGCACTGTCATGGCCTAAAAACGTACCTGCTAGTTGGAATAGATGACCCTTCTTCCTTGAAAGCAACTGAACAGTAATTTCATGTCAAATATAAAATGAACAATAATTTTTTGAAAACAAAAGAATTATTATAGTATTGCAGCCAGTGAAGAGTAGTGCTACATGCTGACAGTTTAAAACTTTAAAGCATATCTGAGATAAAAAATTTACAAAACCAGATAGTAAAATTAACCTGAACACACTGATTTTATACTGGATGGACACCACAAAGACACATCAAACCTTACTGACGAACCATTTAATAAAAATAGTGTACTGAAAGGTATATATAATAAGGAAAACGATTCGATTCACCCGACCGATCTGTCACGGGCATCAGCTTTCCCCAGGTTCCGGGCAATCACAACTTCACAAGACAAACTTCAAGAATCTGTATTCGAGATGTCAAAGTGAACTGAAACGGTTGATATATCAAACTAACGGAGTGATATTTCTTCATAGTTTTTTCTCGACAAAAATAGACATACCTCCTCTGAACCCCTTGTGTAGTAAAAGGCATCACCGCCCTTGCTTGCACATGGGCCATGGAGCCAAATTTCGACGTCACTGTCATTGCCTAAAAACTTACCTGCTAGTTGGAATAGATGACCCTACTTCCTTGAAAGCAACTGAACAGTAATTTCATGTCAAATATAAAATGAACAATAATTTTTTGAAAACAAAAGAATTATTATAGTATTGCAGCCAGGGAAGAGTAGTGCTACATGCTGACAGTTTAAAACTTTAAAGCATATCTGAGATATAAAATTTACAGAACCAGATAGTAAAATTAACCTGAACACACAGATTTTATACTGGATGGACACCACAAAGTCACATCAAACCTTACTGACGAACCATTTAATAAAAATAGTGTACTGAAAGATATATATAATAAGGAAAACGATTCTATTCACCCGACCGATCTGTCACGGGCATCAGCTTTCCCCAGGTTCCGGTCAATCACAACTTCACAAGACAAACTTCAGGGATCTGTATTCTAGATGTCAAAGTGAACTAAAATGGTTGATATATCAAACTAACGGAGAGATATTCTTCATAGTTTTTTCTCGACAAAAATATACATACCTCCTCTAAACCCCTTGTGTAGTAAAAGGCATCACCGCCCTTGCTTACACATGGGCCATGGAGCCAAATTTCGACCCACTGTCATTGCCTAAAAACTTACCTGCTAGTTGGAATAGATGACCCTACTTCCTTGAAAGCAACTGAACAGCAATTTCATGTCAAATATAAAATGAACAATAATTTTTTGAAAACAAAAGAATTATTATAGTATTGCACACAGCGAAGAGTAGTGCTACATGTTGACAGTTTAAAACTTTAAAGCATATCTGAGATATAAAATTTACAAAACCAGATAGTAAAATTAACTTGAACACACTGTTTTTATATTGGAACGACACCACAAAGTCACAGCAAACCTTACTGACGAACCATTTATAAAAATAGTGTACTGAAAGGTGTATATAATAAGGAAAACGATTCTATTCACCTGATCGATCTGTCATGGGCATGTCGGGAGGCGTATTATGACACATGTATGTGGAACGATGACAGATCGCGTATCGGGAGGCGTACCATGACACATGAATAGTACCACCTCGGATGTAGATAATAATATAGGTAAAAAAATTGAAAGCGTAAATTCAGGAGAAGAATCGTATTGTGACGGTGAAACCATGGAGTCAATCCGTGCTTTATTATTAGGGAAGGATATATAGGTAAAGATAAAGATAAAGATTAGGATTAGTATTGGGTCTATGTAAGACACATCTAGATGTGACATAGTTATGTCACATCTAAGCTGATGTCCATTCTATTTGTGTTATACTCCCTCCGTTCCTAAATATTTGTCTTTCTAGAGATTTCAACAAGTGACTACATACGGAGCAAATTGAGTAAATCTACACTCTAAAGTATGTCTATATATACATCCGTACGTAGTAGTCCATTTGAAATCTAAAAAGACAAATATATTTAGGAACGGAGGAAGTATTTTTTTGTCCTACTTTTTTTTGTTTTTTGTTGCTGCATTATATATTTGTGGGAGTTTAGATGTGACATTTTTAGAAAACATCTAGATATGAATTAGACAAACCAATTAGTATTAGGTAGAGATAATGTAGATTTAGATAGGGTAGACAGGAGAGATATGATACACACTCGTGCGAGAAAAAAAACATACAAAAGGATATCAATGTAAGGGGGTGTTTGGTTCAGGGACTTTTTAGTTCCAGAGACTAGAAAAAGTCCCTAAAAAGTCTCTAGGAACCAAACGGGAGGGACTTTTTCTACACGGACTAGAAAAAGATTCTACTAGAGAGTCTTTTTTGATTAGTCCCTAGACTAGAAAAAGTCCTAGGACTTTTGAACCAAACGCCCCCTAAGTTTGGGCCGATCCATTTCCACATTTCATTTTGGGCTGCTGCTGCTGTGACTCCACCCACCACAATCCCGCACGACGGCACGAGCAGCGAGGGCGAAGCCGCCGCCGCCGCCGCCGCCACCCCCAACCCCCCTCGCCGGCGATGTGGCCACTGGAGGACGACGATCTGCTCCCCGAGATCCTCGTCCGCCTGCCCCCGCAGCCCTCCTCTCTGCCCCGCGCCTCCGCCGTATGCAAGCGCTGGCGCCTCCTCGTCTCCGACCCAGGATTCTCCCGCCGCTTCCGGATCCACCACCGCCGCAGCCCTCCCCTCCTCGGTTTCTTCCGCAGGAATGACGGCCTGCCCTTCGTACCCACTCTCGACGCCCCGGATCGTGTCTCCCCCGGTCGTTTCTCCTTGCAGCGCGGCGACGGCGACCGGTTCATGCCCCTCGGATGCCGCCATGGCCTGGTACTCATCTCCAACAAACCTAAGAACCAGATCCTGGTGTGTGACCCCGTCACCGGCGACCAGCACCGCCTTGTCGTGCCCCCGGGGGTTGCAGTACATGCAGAGAAGACATCGATCAACGGGGCGGTGCTTCGTGCTCGTGCTGCCGGAGACGAGGCCCAGCACTTCCAAGTGGTGTTGACAGTGGCAGACAACGACCACGAGCAACACCATCGAGCTCTTGCCTGCGTTTACTCGTCAGAGACCGGCGCATGGGGTGATCTTGTCTCAACGCAGCTTCCACCTGATGTTCTAATGAGTGATGCTCCCACCTTGGTTTCTACTGACAAGCCTGCTGTGCTGGTTGGGGATTCCCTTTACTGGAAGCTTGCTGGGAATATGGATGGAATTCTCGAGTTCGATTTGGAGAAGCAAAGCCTAGCTGTGATACGGGTGCCGGTGCATATCCTTGAAGAGGGCCAGTACATGTTCTTGATTATGCGGGCAGAGGGTGGAGGCCTTGGTTTACTCATCCAGACAGACTGCAGCATCCAACTGTGGAAGATGAAGACTGATTGTGATGGTGTTGCTTCATGGGGGCTTGGAAGAACCATTGAACTGGACAAGCTACTTTCTCTGAAATCTCAGGAGACTAACATGTTGATACCAGGGCTCGAGGAGGAAAATAATGTGGTATTCGTGTGGGCAGATCACATCGTCTTTACGGTCCATCTTGAGTCAATGAAGTTCAAGAAGCTTTCTGGAACCTACCCCCTTTCTCATTATCATCCATTCAGAAGTGTCTACGCTGCAGGTAAAGCATGTCTTGACATATTCGTTGTAACAAAACCAAGTTAATTTTTGATAATTGGTTCATGGCATATATGGTTCATCCTTTCCTGTTGAGTTAACAAGTTTAAGTAGTGTCATATCACTTGTTCCTTTGGCTGCTTGCTGACCTCTTCAACATATAGCGATTGTTTCCTGTAGTATTTCTATTCTGATTCTTGTGTGGTGGCGTTGTATGTAATGATTATGATTTGTTAGAAAAAAAATCTGTTAGTGGTATATAGTCTTGTATATTCTCTGCAGCCTGGCGATGGCCTGCAATTGGTCTATTGTTCAGTTTCACTTCTGAAATTCTTGTTGTTCAAGTCAGAGCTAGCAAACTGTCTTCATCTGTTTATTATCATCCACAACTATTTGCTTACATGTTCACCCGGTCACCTCCTTGCATTGATGGCAGACTGCATCTTTGACGTCTTCTCCAGGCCCTGCTTCTCTTCCATATGCCTTTAACCACCTGACTTCTCTTTTATTTGCTAATGTTCTATCCCCTCACTACTGGATGTGAATACTTCCAGTTGCCTTCCTGTTCAATCGAACTGCCATGCTTTCAGTTACCTCCTCAGTACTCCCCCAGTTCCTTCTGATAATGCAGGTTTTTCTCCCTCTAGCTCCCAGATGAGTCCAAACTCATTACCCTTCCCCTCTGTGAATATGTTAAGTGGTAACATAATCAGTACATCCTCTTTTGTGTTCTTCATGGACTTAATTTTTTGTTTGTTTTACTTCTACTAGTTGCTACATGCCTTTGATTAGTTTTTCGTGGTTATGGGTCTATCAAATCCTAATGCGATTTATATGGTGTTACCTCTACGTGAGTATTTGATAACTATGCATGACGACCATTTGCTTCATGCTTCCTTCATATAAACGGGATAGCTATATCATTTCACATTGCTGCTTATTTTTGGTCATTATTGTACCTAGTGAACTGATGATCGTCAGAAACACTTGAAGAGTATGCTTTCATTAATTTTTGTATTTCTATTTATCCTTTTGCTCAATTTATTGCAGTTTTACGGATGATTGTTCTAGTAGAAGGCAGTTTGCGTAAATATTATTCTCAGCATATCTCTCAGTGTCTATCTAATTTGCATATGTAATCTGCCATGATCCACTAACATGATTTGTCTGGTCCAAGCTATATGTATCAATGCTTTGCCGGCAGTCTATTTTCTGCACTTTTGGTCACTTTAGGTGCTTAAGACTTTATAAACATATGATTGAAATGCCATGACTAACAGATTCACTGTAAACACTGCTTTTGTCACAAATTGTATTTTTTACTGACATATTAATATTACCAGTAAACTAGTGGTCAAAGCATTGCTTTTGTTGTTGTCAAGAAAGAATAATGCATCTATTTTGGGCCGAGGGAACTGTGTCCGTTAATAAGACAATGCACAATCCCCAGTTGAGGCTTTTACTACATGAGTTCAATTAAATTTTATTTGTGAGCGACTAGCTAGCTCGTACATTTCTGAAAGTATGTCTATGAGCTATAAACTAGATGGTTTGGGTTTGTTGCCCCATGAGCCCCTTGTGTGCCCATGATAACAAGGAATATTTCAAATGATTCGATAAGCTAGGATGTCCAGTATTTCCCTGTAATGGAGTTATTTGGACCACTGATTTTATTTGATTTTTGCCTTCACTGAGAACAGAATAACAGATGTAGCCAAAAACTTGAGAATATCCTAACAATAAGAGTTGAAGGTGTGGTGATAAAAATGAACCCTTTTCCTGTAGCGGTTCTCTGTTTCTAGTGTTGGTTTGTCTGCTGATGCTGACCGCTGAGACGGTCCAGTTTCGGAGCATTTGGCATGATTTCCACAATACCAGTGAAGTTAATGTGTACTGTTTGAGTCGTACAAAAAATTGAGATACATAACTTTAACGTTTTTTCTCTGAATGTATTGTGATACATAGCTTTAACATTGACTGATGAAATTGGCTGCTCTGCAGCTATCTAGGATTGAATTCCGGTGGCCGAGATGCAGAAAATGGTTATGGTGCTGTAGGTTCTTCCAATTTCTATGCTGTTCACGGGGTCTGCCATGTGCTATACCCATAATTTGGCCCTCTGTGCCGGCCTTTGCAAACTTACCTGTCTATCGTCTATGTTCTGTATGAGGACACGGTGACTTGCTTGGATTAATAATTAGTGTTGGGTTACTCTCGCGGTTCATTTGCTTGGTGCCTTTTAAACAAGCACGCCAAGGCAAGCTCGTCTGTCAGTTGTATCGTTTGCTTATGTCTCATGTTGTGTCAGGTTGAGGTTTCAGGTTGTAGGTTGCTTACAGGAGGTGGTCTCTTGCAGCTCTGTACACGTATGGATTGCAATACAAATCTCCGAAAGTGAAAAGATCAGTTCCTTGCTGTGGGCGTTCCCTTTGCTCAGCCATGCTAAAATTGACGCTGATTGTGATGGGGCGATCCGTCAAGCTTCCCTTTCTTTCAAGGGGCTGGGGTTTTGTTGCGAGGAATGATCGGGCCTTACCGCGGCATCGGGGCGCTTTCTTTGTGATGACGTCGGGTCATCTTCAGGGAGTCAGCTCCGCACTACATGCTGAAGCTTTGGCGCTGCTTCAACAAGCTAAAGCAAGCACATGGCAATTACATAATTGCCGTGTGTTGCATATGACAATGTAAAAAGAAAATGTATGTGCTAGGCGCTCTGTTAGGGGATGGCAACCAGATTGTGTGGGCTGGCCATCTACCTCAGTTTGTACTGAATCTGTGTGCTGCCGACTTGTCCAACGTTTCAGTTTAATGGAGTGCATCGGCAGTGTTACTTTCTGAAGAAAAAAATGCGAACGGACAAACACAGGCAGCTCCTTAAGATCTTGTCTAGGAAGGAAGCTCCCTTTCTTAATTTAGCACTGAGCAAATCTCCATTAGGAAAATACGTTGCCTTCAGAACAGTACCACACAAAGAATCTGGATTATCTATTAACCTCCATGCTTGTCTTGCTAGAAGAGCCAAATTAGAATAGTGGATGTCTCTAAACCCCGTACCTCCTTTGCACTTCGGCGCACATAATATCCACCAATGCATTCTCTTTTGGTTGTCACTGTCCCCCCAACATTAGTGCAACATCGAGTCAGATATTCCTTTACAAACTTGTTTAGGAATTTTAAAGATTGACATCCAGAAATAAGAGAGGACTGTTCCACCGAGTCTCCTCAGCGATTTGGATTTCTGACCGTTGGATCTGGCTGCTTGATGCGATCTGGGCCGTCGGATCGAGCCGTTGGATGACCTACGCCGTCGGATCAGATCCCGGCACTGTAGGAATGAATAGTGATAAAAAACGTCTGCCACCGCGTGTAATTCCGGTGCCCCGCCAAGGGCATTTTCATCATTTCACGTCCTACGATATAAAATGGGCCCGCTCCTGTTGCGCGACCTCCTTCCACACACACACACACACTCTCTCTCTCTCTCCACACCCTAACCCGCCTCTCTGCCCCGCCGCCGCTGCGGTCGCTCGCCCAGGCACCCATCCAGCACTCGCGCCGCCGCCGTTGCCCCCTCTCCTCTTCCTCCCGCCCGGCCCGTGCCTCCCTGCCCCGCTGCCATCCAGGGCCAGCCCCACACCGCTGCATCCTCTTCCTTCCTCTCATCCCCACGCGGCGACGACAGCAAGGACGGCACGCTGCGCCCACCCCCTCCACTCCACCAGAGGTGCCCCTCCTCGCCCCGTCCTCCTCGCACTCGAGGACCCCCAGTCGCCCGCAGCCCTGGCGTCCTACCAGGTCCTGCTCGCCGTCCCCGCCTGCATCGCCCTCGGCACGCTCGTCTCTCTCTCCTCCTCAGTGCCCAGCGGGAGAAGCATGAGGCGTTGACGCTGCTGATGCTCAGCGGGAGAAGCAGCTGCCGAAAATCAATGAAGCCGCCCCCCTCCTCCACGGCAGCGCCTTCGTCCCCGACGACACCCAGCAGCAGCCCACTCCCGGTACTACTGCCCCCCTTCTCTCTCCCTCTCGCTCATGCTGCGGTCAGTACTCCGATTATTATGAAAATTTCCCTCTCCAGTATGCTAAGCTATAATTTTCAGTAGTATTCTGCATATGACCGAAATGGTTTTTTGAGGACAGTCCAGCATGATGTCTGCACTTTTAATATGAGTGAGATGGGTTTTTGAGGATAGTTTTGGTTTTGGATTAAGTATCAATGAGATTTGCCGACCGGGTCCAAGATGCTTGCTTAGTTGCTTTGGAAGAAGAGTCTCTGCCCTGTTCTGCTCCTACACATGGGGGTATTAGGAGGATTCAATGTTTTGATGCTTCTTGTTCTGGTGGAATCTCATGAGCTAGATGGATTTAGGTTCCGCTTAATTCTGGACGAGATCGCATGTGATCGCTCAAGCGACGCAATCTGGACGAGAACCTCGTTGGACAGATTCCTGAGAAGATAGGCTACGATTTGTTCGTCCTGGATTAACCAGGGGGCATAGGCAGGATTCACAGCAACCTGATCCTTGTCGTCGGTGGTCTTGGTGGTGATTGTTTTGCAAGGTTCTTAGATGGTTTGATCGAGGTAACCGTATAGGCCGGCGCCCATGATCTGTGATCTGGCTTGAGCGTGCCATAGGATATAGTTGGTGCGGGTAAGAGGTTCAGATGTGTTGTTGTTGAGGCCAGGGGACATGACAGAGGTGAAAGACGAGATGGTGGGTGAAGGTTAATGGCGCTAGATGTGATGGAAGGGACTAGCTCTGTATACCATGTAGAAACCTATGGTTAAGCATCTCAATCTCCATACATGGAGACCCACTGAGTATATATTGATTGTGGGAGTCGGTACAGGAGATGGCAGCGTCAAGGCTAACCATCGAGATATATTACAGGAGGATTTAGGAGATAAGAGAGATAAAACACAAAAAGAATAAACCTCCTAACTACCATGCCGTGAGCCTCAAGACCTCATAGCGTGTTACAAAGCGACATGCTAAACCTGTACAAGATATGTGTTTAACAGTTGTAGCTAGGTAAATTACTCTGTTCAAGTTCACCATCACGTTTTATTAGAAAGTACATTGTCTATGGACAATGCATCTCAGGGGATCACAGTGAGGATGAAAGGTTTGGAGAAATGCAAAATGATAAAATTAAGACGTTGGTATACAAAGAACTATCAGGAAAATATACACCATCAATCATTCACCATAAGGACACATCAGGGCAGTAGCTGAGTGGAGAACTAATTAAAATGTTTCTCCTGGATTTCTGATTTTCTATACTAGAGATGGGTCTTAGATAGTCTGCTAGAGTAGCCACACAAACCAAGGGCTTTAGTCCCTATAGCTATAAGATGACATCTGCTCTTTGGCTTTTCCCTCTTTATGTGTGACAAGATTGTCTGATTGTGAAATGCATGTAATTCATTAAGAACTTATGGTTTAATTATAACATTAACACTTTTGAGCCATGACCTGACCTTATATACTGCTGCAATCAAAGAGCAATAACCTAACATACTTTGAACTAAACCAATGTTGCTTGGTCAATAAATAGCGTGCTGACTTGCTGGTTCAGTTTAGACATGTAGGCAGAAGCCAATAATGGCATGCTGCCTTGCTGGTTCAGTATAAAGTATGTAAGGTTATTCCTCTTTGCTTGTTGATCTAACAACCAATGCTATGGTGTATAGGTCTATGGACAAATAGGTGCAAGGAGGGCTTTGTTTGGTGCAGCGCAAGACAATAGCCAATAGATGTTTAAACTACCAATTAATAGAGTACTGAACATGTTGGTTTGTCGACGATTGCTGTAACCCACTTCAGATGACGTATAGATTACTAAAAGTTTTTTAGTATTCAGTATTTATCTTTTCTTACATATATATACACGATTTACTACATTTATGTATATTTTACCTTTCAACTCATGGCCAAATTCACTTGATCAATTTTCAGTAGCCAATCTGATGAATGGTTTGGAGTTTGGCTGCAAATAAACTTGAGACTAAGAGCATTTGTAAATAGCATCAATGCATAAGTAAATATTTCCCCGCACTTCTATTTCATGATTAGGCTGTCCTAGTATTTGATTACCAGGTATGTTTGGTTTGCCAATTTTGTATGGGATGTATCATTTTGTTGACCATTCGATGAGTTCAGTATACGACCATCGAGCCAGATGTTGTGGCGACAGGCATGAGGCAACCATACATCTACTGTGAAGGACTGCTCTATGGCCTTTTACTCGCTATCATTTACCCATACAAAGCATAGAGGGATTATGTACACAAGTTGCCTTCTGTATGATTCATGTAATGTATTTGATACTTCTATAGTTTTATCATTGTAATCAGACAACTCGAGCGCGCTAAAATCACTGTACATACTATTTCATTCTATTGTATTTAAAAACAATTATTCATATTGGGCTGCGTGTTGTTTGGAGGGTAACGCGTGGCAAGGCGCGTGACCAACACGTTGGTTCCTACTAACTTAACATTACTTACTTGACCAAAACGTTTGGACCGGCACCCTCGCGCCAAGGCGCGATCCTGATCTAGCTGCATATGATGGTATAGCTTGTGCAACTGACTTGGGAAGGATTTCATTATAGCCCAATGATGATTGCCTCTCTTTTCAACCATTCACCCTCTGCATGACATGATCAATCAAGTGCTGAAAACAATTTGTTTTATCCATCCCCGCTTTAGACGGCAATCCCAAATACTTATCATTGTGCGCTTCTGTCATGATATTTAGCAAAGCACAAAATTTGGGTCTTCACATGAACATCAGTATTGGGACCGAAGAAAACACTAGATTTATCAAAACTCAGCAATTGTCCGGATGTAGCACAATATAAGTCCAAGATTATCTTTAAAGTTTCGGCATTGTCCATATGTGCTTTAATAAGGATCAATGAGTCATTTGCAAACATGAAATTAGATATTAATGAGGCCTCTCTGTACACCTTTATGTGCAGTAGATTCCCGGCCTCCTCTTCATGTGCAAGTAATGCAGTTAAATCCTCCATACATAATAGGAATAAATATGGTGATAGAGGATCTCCTTGACGTAAACCTCTTGTGGGTTTGAAAGTACCAGTTTCAATAGAATTAAAGCGAACAGAATACTCGTCCGTAGTCCCACATTGCATCACCAGGTTGACCCAATCCTCATGAAAACCCAAGTTCAGCAAGATCTCTTCCATGAAAACCCATTCAACACGGTTATAAGCCTTGTGTATGTTGTAACACCCCGAAAATCCAAAAACCCTAGGAGTCGAAGAAACACAATTCCAGCCGCCACAAGTTCCAGAACCACCAGATCCAATTTAGACACCATCACGGAGGGGTTCATCACCCTCATTGGTGTCTCTTCGATGGTGCGTGAGTAG